CTGAAACTTTAAGTATAATTAAATTTTATGATGCGTAAAAAATGAATATTTATTTTAAGAAATAAATATATGATTCTGTAAAATAATTATTCATTCTTTAGAAGTGATATCAATTAAATTTTCAACTAGCACTTAAGAAAATAAATTTTTACTTATGGCTTAAAAAATTTCCTTTGTATTAAAATATTTCAAGCGGCTAGTCTTTGCTAAGTTAAAGTTATGCTGAAGACAACCATTAAACAAAACAAAATAGGTCGTGGTATGACTCATTGCATATTTAAAATTTTAATTATACTTTGTGTTAGGTTTCAGTTGCTGTGTTAATCATAATTCATTTGGTTTTATATATCCAATATCGTTACCTAAAAAAATTTTTTAGAAAAATTCTCTCCATATTTCTTATCTGAAAATTTTTTTTAATGAAAAATATTAAGTTTTGAAATATTTGCTATTTTTCAAAAAAATATGCCTCATTTCAACATGGGGTCTTTTCTCAAATTTTTAACATTTAATGCATTTTGAGCAATGTATTTTATACTAGTATTTATTATGTTTTCATATTCAATTTTGAAAATAAGTAATTCTTTTCCTGTCTCTTAATTTTTCCTGAAATAAAGTGTTTCATGAAGCGAAACATATCTTCGGTTATATCATCATTTTAATAGCTTATTAAATTATATGTCAGTGTGCATTAAAAATTCGTGTGCCTTATCATATAAAATGTCAATAGGACTTTTCAAAAAATATCCTTCAATGTAAGTATTTCAAAATTGAATTTCTTTAAAATTTTAAAATCTTATGCATTGTTAGAATTTTTTTATGCTATTTTTAATGCATTTATGTTTCAATTTTGAGAATGTGTATTTCTTTCTTTTTCTGAATTTATTCTTGGAATAGTTTATGAAGCAAAATATATACTTTAGGTAATGAATTTAAAATTTGTTAAGACCAAATTCAAAAATCTTGAAATGCAGCTTTTGTTTTACTTATTTTTTTATTTAATCACCTTTTTAATTTTGTTGAAGTTAACAATTCTTTTCTAATAAACATCCAGAATAAACCAGCTGCATGCGACTATCAAATGTATACTTCAAATCACTGCATATCCCCCCCCCCCCAAAAAAACAACAACTTATGTTCTTTCTGCTCGCCTTAGATGAAACTTCTCAAATAGAAATTTTATCAATTGTTTTCGTTAAAGCACTCATTTTTTAATCAATTAAAATCAGATCTCTTTGCAGAATATATTGGTACATTCATACGTTTTTGTGTTTAAAATTAAATTCAAGTGTAAAAATTCTTGCTGTTTCGTATTATAATGAATGCTTCTCTTTTTATTCATTATCTTAGTATTGACTCAAATCTTTAGAATAACTTTATGAGTGAGAGAAATACTATGAGTTTTTAACACTCATACATTGGTTTCACATTAATAGTAATGATTTGAGCTGAGCAATATATCGACACTTCGTGAAATACCGATATTTCGTAAGCATCATGATAAAGATGTTTTAAAACAGTATTCGCAAGATGTATCGTGAATAGCATGTCTTACGATAGATATAGAATGTACATTAATTAGTAAATGCGATAATATCGTGGTAAATGCCGACATTGATAAACACCAAATATGATGAAATCATAAGTATTAACGATTAAAATAATTACCGAAGAGGATATTATCGTGAGTTTTCATAAATGTCATTTGAGTTACAAAAATATTGATCATTGAAAAATATTGGTTAAACTATAAGTCTATTATTAAACTGTAATATTCAGGTTAATAATAACGATTAGAGCTGGGAAATATATTGTTGTAAAATATCGATATTTCTTTAGCATCATGATAAAGATATTTTAAAAATACTCCTGATTTATCGTGAATATATGTCTCACAATAAATATAGAATGAACAATGCGATAGTATCGCGATAAATAGAGTACCAAAATTATTAAAATTGCGATAAAGAGTATTACGATAAAAAGTATTACAGTAAAGATAATTATAGAAGAAAATATTATCGTGAGTATTGATAAATTTTTTAGAATGATGAAAATATGTATCATTGAAAAAATAATGCAGATTGGTGAAATTTTAAAAATATTGCAATATATCGTGAAGTATCAATCTTTATGGTAATAAACCGCGATATTAAAATTCCGATATCACTCAGAAGAAGCTCATCATTTCTGATAGCCCATTAGTCTAATTCAAGTGCGAAGTAACAATAAAATCAATATATCAATCATACAGGAAAATTTTATTTGGTTAATTAATTACACTACCTTTCCTCCCCGCGATTCCTATTTTCGCCTTTGTCCCTAATTTATAAATCAACATTAGTGCTTTCGTGAATTTTAAATCTACTTAGTTATACATAAACAAAATAATTGTTAAGCAAAACTTATTTATTTTCTGATTGTTATATCATCTTACAAAAATGTAAATTAGAGTGCTCTACTTTACTCTTTGTAGATCTCATTTTTCATTAAGTCTCCAATATTTGCGATAATATTATGAGTGAATTTAATAACGCTATCTTGGAAGATTTTAAGTGTAATTTGAGAAGTAGCAACTTACTATTTAGTAAAGAATTTAGAGGAAAACTACTTCTTATCAGGGGCTTATTGTTAGAGCAATTACTGTTTTAAGGGGAAAAATCATGCCAAAGGTATTTTCTCTATTTGTAAATAGATTTATGCGAAAATTACTTTCTTACTTACTTTCTTCATTTATATGATATATTGAACAAGAACCTAACTCAAAAATAAAATAAAATATTTTTTAAGTTATTTTTGAAACTATTGGCACTGAAACTATTGCAACGGCAGTTTGAAACTGTTAAAAAGGCACGTCAAAAATTTTCCCGCATCTTTGCTTTGTATTCAATTTCATAAAATATTTTTTTTAAATATTTGTCACTCGAAAGAAGAACAACTTGCTGTACAGAATCTTCATTAAAACTTTCTCCAAAATTTTATCAAAATTATATAGCTTGAAAATCGACAAATTTCAACGAAACAACATATTTCCCCCTTTTTTATTTCCTTAAATTTGTATTTAAACAAATTAATGCAACATTATTACTTCTCTCTTTTATTTGATCATCTTTTACTTTAACATCGTACTCTAAAAATACTCATTCATGAAAATCGAGGAAAATTGAGGTACGTTTAGCATTATGAAGATTATGAAATATGTAAAAAGAATTTTCTGCTAAATTCATTTCATAGATTTATGATATAAAGGCTCACATTGTGAAGATTACCATACAGTATTAAAATTGAGTTTCTAAGAACACGATTAAGAACTTTGTTATTACATTCTTTCACAAAACTTATACTATATTATTCAGAACATTTTAAAATAATGAAATTTGTAATAAAATTTATTATTATAAATTGTTAATTTCTAGTTATTTTTGATAAGTGGTTTCTTTCAATTTTAAATTTTTTCATGCTCTGTCTTAGTGACAAGTGAAATAATTTGAATAGTGTCAAATCATCATTCTTTTAGATGTTTTATGAATTTAAAGTTCTGTTTTTCGTATCATGAATAATTTCTATAATTCAGGATACAAAGCGAAGTAAGAATATGTTAAAATGATAATATATCGCGAGCAATGATTAGGTATCGCATTGTATGCACAGAAGAGGGAAATATAATGAAGCATTATATATTTAAAAATGCATAATGTTTTGATTTTGCTAGAAAATTTGAAAATTTGATAATTTTTTTATCACTTGTTAGCATTTAGTGATTCCATAATTTTTGTCAAAGATAATATTCAAAATTTTCCCTGTGTGGGAAATATTTTCTTGTAATCTTTTTCTCGTGTTTTTATATAGCTAGTATAAGTTCAAACAAAATATACATACATTTATATTGAAACTTAATAACTATGGCGTATTCATGACAAAAAAGTGTTAAATAATTTTTTCATTGTAAAAGTATTTAGTTTTGAAAATTTTTTTGAAGGATTTCTATGACAATTCTATTATTAAAACGTATTAACTGTAGGAAGATTATAATTTTTAAAAGAATTAGATTTTTATGTACAAAAATAGATAACATTATTTAAAAAAATTTTAAAAAATTTTTTTGAAGATTTCTTTAAATTTTTTTAAGGAATATTTTTTTCATAACTACATCTTGTTTAAGTTCGATTTCTTTCCTTAAAAAAATACTACTTTTTTGAATTAAAAGAAATATGTCCACTGAAGTAAATGAATTACATTTTTATATAGCACTTTGGTAATAAGTACAAAAAAAATCTCAGTTTCGCATGCGATAAAAATATGTTGCATAAGCAAATGTGTATAAAATCCACATATAAGGTTCACGAAAATTAAAAGGGTTTAAAATGCAGTTTGACTTATTACAATTTCATGCATGACAGATTTATTTTTGAATAGAAACTTAAAAACTCTTTCCTATTAGAGGAAAAAAAATATTCTTGGAAAGTGAATTTCTTTTTGAAGATAATTGAGCTGAAAACGATAAATGTTTTACAAAAAATTATCCATAAAAATTACACAAAATATTAAGAAATTACTTTTGAACAAAATCATAATTAGTTTTATGAGAAGCTTCTGTAGTTGCTACGGAAATTCGGTTTTATAAAAATACAATTAATGGAAATTACAGTTTCTAAAATGAATTACTTTATGGGCATTAACATTCCAAGTTTCTTCAATACCATTGAAAATTCAGTATTATGCGAACACATTTAAGACTCAGCTAAAAGAAATTATATTGCATTAGCGCAAAAATAGGTAAATGTTTTCGATTAAACTATCTTATAACTGCAAACACATCTTTCATATTTTTCAGCCCCTTTTTAATTTTTCTTTCTTTCCTTCCTTATTTTCATCTTTCCTCTTGGAGCTCTTATTCTGTTCCGCTTTTCTCTTTATTTAATTCCTTCATCTTTCTGATCTTCCAGGACACACTAAGTCCATCCTAAAAACAGGAGAAAGAAAATATGCCCCTTCCGATACCAGCGCCATCAAGTGTCGAAACTGTGCATCATGACGGGTAGCCCTTTCGGAGTATGATTATTGCTATCCGAATCTGGCGAACATCCATTCTAATTACACATCTAACGATTGAAACCGGTGAGTGACTTTATTCCTTAAACAGTGCGTTCTCATCCTTAAGTGTTGCAAACGACAGAAAACCCCAATTTTAACCATATAAGGTGTTGAGAAAACTGGAAGATGACTTGATTTGTAAAACGTCCGAATACCCCTGGCTCTCTTGTGACCTCATTTCCCTCGATCTCTTCGATAAAAAAGAAAGTAAGTCACTCAATTTTTGACATTCGTATTTTTGATATCGTATAATATATGAATAGAAAGAACCTCAGAATTAAATATTTCGAAAAGCCTTATTGCACATGGTGTTGATAGGTAGCTCTTTCGTTAAGAAAAACTGATATTTTAAATCAGGATAGTGGGTAGAGATGGAAATCGCTTTGCAAGAAAGGGGTAGCAAGGAAGAGAAGGGGCATTTTAAACAGCTGATGTACTTCAGTAAGTTCTCGCAGTGAGCTTTTTTAACTAAAGTTTTTTCTTAATTTACTCTTAGAAAGGAAATAATTGAAAAAGGGAATACGATTAAATAAGATGACGATTTTGAGAATTTAAGTTTTAAATAATTAATGCGCTTTTGAAACATAAAGAACCGATTAAAACAAAATAGGAAAACAATTCGAATAAATTAAAACATTTTACATTAAAACAAGTCTGATTTATGGAAGAATTTGTTTTTATATAGGTATTGCACAGTTAGAAATAGTAATGTTATACTAAAAATAAAATCACGACAGGACAAAATGCTACTTTTTTGTTTGAAATGTTAATATACTTAAATGTGATTGAAGTGATTCGATACTGATGTAGAATAAGCAAAGTATTTTATATTACGGTAAGTTGATAATAAATTTGTTTATGACAAAGAATAAATTTGCAGCTATTTAAAACGAAACAATAATAAATAACTTTTAAAATACGCAATGAACCCGAACTTCACTTTTAGACTTGTAAGTAAATTAATTGAAATAGTTTGAAAAATAAAAGTTTTAAAATTAATTAAATTAATTGAAAATATTTAAAGCAGATGTAATAAAAGTATTAATAGCAATATAATAAAAAGTATTTCAGAAACAGAGTCTAATTTTTTTTCGAAGGATCTTTGCTTAGTCTTCTATTAAATTACTTCATAAGATAGTTTGAAAATAATTAAAAATATTTGAATTTTAATTGAGAATAATTAAAACAATGGTACCTAAAATTAACGTTAAAAGCATCATAAATATAGTAGCGGTAAATATAAATAATGATACACTCTTAAAAATATTCTAACGTTGATTTCAAATCAAATTAATATTATGGAATATCTAGAAAAGTGTGTAAACTGAATTTATTTCTGTCAAGCAGTTGCAAGAAAAGCATTATGAGAAATATACACTAAGAAAAATATTATAGTCAAAACTACCAAAATATGGCAAAATTTACAGTGTTTTTGGCTCTATGGCAAATGTTTGGTAATTTTTACCTATGAGCTTTGGTTATGATTTTGGGGATATTAACAATAAAATATGGTTTTATATTATATGATAAAACTCGATAAAGGTTCTAAATTTCGGTTATTTCAACGTGGTACTTTAGAGATTGGCATTAAAACCATTTATTCGGTTAAATTTACTTTTTGGTATTTTTTACTAAGTGTGTGGTAAAGAGAACTATAGTTTTGAAAATCATAATTTCCTCTAAATCGCTACCATATGAACTAAAAAATCACCAAATGTATGATTTAAACACTGTGTATTTTACTGTATTGCATATTATTTTACCGTTTTATTAACCAGGCTTTTTTACGAGAAATGTCATTACATTACGGTGATTTTACCAGAATTTTCTTCTCTGTGTAGTTTAATAGCAGTGAAAAAGATTAAAAAATGTGACTACGTGCACTGTAAAAATTTTTAATTTAACCTCAACACTAAAAATGGTATTAACTATACACCAAAAAATTTTCTATAGTGAAGTTGACTAGTGTGACTAATCTTTGATTTCTCATATAAATGTTACATCTGAATTAAAATTTAAAATACAGCCTACCAAAATCACCCTATCAAAATAAACTTACTTCTTTTAATGGTAATATTTCGATAGTGAATAATAAATTCAATGAAATTTAAAAATATATAGTAAACATAATTTCATATATATTAAAAAAAACATAAAATATTAAAATATGGTGGCAGTAATAATTTTCAAACTATATTAACGCTATTGGAAACTGATATTTTTTAGAAAGTGAACTAAAATATAAGAAGCACATGGATTTGTTTTGAAAAAAAGTATTCGCAAATGCACTTTATATTACTTACTATAGCAAACAGCAACAGACTAATAATTTTAAAACATTTATCTTTAAACCTCTATTTGTTTTATTTTCCTTTTTTCAAAGTGTTTAAAATATTAGCTATTAGATAGTGACCCTGTAGTGAGTCTTTAAAAAATATAAACAAAAAATAAAAGAATAGAACCTAAAAAATCTTTACAAATTATTTTTTTTCTCCTTCAAAATTTTTCAAATTCTATTCTAAATCTAAATTCTAATTCAAATTCTATTCTAAAGTTCTATAAATATTTCTGTCAAATTATTTTACATTAAAAATGAATTAGAACTATTTGAACCACTGAAATGTTACAACTATAAGCGTAATAAATTTAATTAAAAGATTTAAAAAAACATTTTTAGAAGAAAATTTTAAAAATTATTATCAACATGAATCTTATTATGGTAAGAACAAAGTATTTAAAATATTTAAAGAAATGATGAATGCATCAAGTGATAGTATTTTAAAATATATTGCATTATGCATTAAAAAATATTGAATGAAAATTATTTGAACTACTTTTTTTTGGATACACATAAGAATCAATTATATTTTCGTTTACATTTTGTAGTCTCACTCAAACTAAAAACGTTCATTGTTTCATATTTCATTAAAGTTTTCGCTAAAATGTTTCATATTTCGCCAAAGAAAAATATGAAACATTTTAGCTCATTTTTTTTTATCTAAGGTATGGGAAATATTAGAATTAATAACATAATGTTTGCGTAATTAAGATTATTTGATCGAAAAACTGTTTCGTAATTTAAAAAATTTCTTAATGAAAATTATTTCAAATGCTTTTAGAAGTTAAATGAATTTATAGATCATCGTCAATTATGTAAGGATAAATTATTATGTAAAATAGAGTTCATGAAACCAAAAAGTTTATATATTTTTACCAAGTAAATAATTTTAAAACTTCCATAACTGTAATTCATAATTCATCACAATTTTATTTTCTAAAAATATTTGGAACACATAAAGAAATAATTTCTTACTGTGATCGATTTGATTAAAATTGATCGTAAATGAATTTAATGAGTGATTTGAATATATATTAAATTTACTTAGTTAATTTTAATATAAATAAGTTTTAAGAAATAAAAACCCTGCGTGAAACTAAAAAACATCTTATTTTTTAGAATGCATAAAAATATCGAAAGAAATATTTAATTAATAAGCAGCATGCATAAAGTAGGTATATTAAATAATATTGTAATAAAAATTATTAAAATATTTCGAAATTAGTTTGTCTGAATTTCCGTAAAATCAAATTTCATACTTAACTTTATGTTATACATTCTTAATTTTAAGCTTTTCCCTTATTATGTGCTTTAAAGAGATTGCATAAAATATTTCACTTATTTAAACTTTTTTTTATTGATAATGTCTCACAAGAGAATTCTTCATATTTTATCTTTATATTAACTCTGTCTAAAATTTTCAATTTAATTATTTTCCTTAAATAAGTGAATAAATTTATCCTATATAACAAATTAAATGGAATAGATTTAATTTTTCGTAGTGATTCAAAATTTGAATTTAAAATGCAATTTTTTCCACACAAAGTAGCAACGTTAAAAATAATTTTCGAATCTTTCTGTATTGAGCTTTTTAGTATTGAATACTTGATGCTTTTTTGTATGAATTTTTAATTAATTAATTGCACTAGATAATTATAAACTTTTAATCTAATTACAAAAGTTGTAATTAGTAAATGTTAGACAATTTAGATCAATCAAGCAAAATAAATACTTGTCCAGTTTATAATTTTTTTTAGATGTTTTTAACTAATTATTTATTATTCTATCTAAAAGAACATTAGAATTTTATTACATTTGTGTTATTCGATTTGAATAATCATAGGAAATCTATTAAAATATGTACACTGTAAAAAGCTCTGGGTCAAATTACGAAAAATTGTACTGGCACTCAGGGTGCTGGTTCTTTTTACAGTAAAATTTTACGAAGCAAAAATCTGATAAATCGTAATTTTTGTGAAGTAATATTTACTGTGAAGCCACTGAATTGCTGAAATTAAATAAATATTACTGTATAAATTATGGTATAAAATTTTACAATAAAAATGGACTTATAGTAAAATAGATTTACGAATGATGCACCCAGGGAGTCAGTACTTTTTATCGTAATTTGATCCAGAATGTTTTACAGTCTCAAAAGGAAAAGTTTTAGAATTCAAGATTAATATGAGCTAAATATGCATAAATTATGATGAATCATAAATTTTATCAAAATGTTATACATACTATTTTACATTGCCTTAATATAAAACAAAAATAAAGTCTTTTTACTTACTATTGCATATCTTTTAAAATTTCTAACATATTAGACATGATTCAGGCCATACAAAATAATCAGGGTCAATCAAATCTATTAGAGAAATGAATTCGTACGATAAAAATTTATCAAAATAATATTATTTAGCTCTTACATCGTATATAAAAACTTTCAGGAATAACTGCACACAGAAGTTCAAATATATAATAGTTAACACTATATAATGAATTTCCGCACACTCTGAATGAACAGTGTATAACAAATAACTGTCAATGAGGAAATCTTTCTACATCTTTAGTTGTTTTTCTAATGCTTGAAATATTATCATTATTTAGTCTTTCAAGATTTAAGAAGAATATCTTAATGATACTTAGTCATCTATGGAGGAAACAGACAGTAATGGGTGCATGTGTACTTTTTGAAAAAAAAAAAACTATTTTCCTTTCTGTTTGTTTTTTACCATTCTTTATTTTATAAAAACGTGAATCAAATATTCTCTTTTTCTTTCTTTTTTTGTACTCAAAAAGGTTAATGATAATTTTTCTTTCACAAATTGCATAAAAAGAGCCATTTTGGAGTAAATGTATTAAAAAT